GATAGCACTTCAGTGTGCCCCACAGGTAGCTTCATGGAAAGAAGAGAGAGGTACACTGCAGGACAGGATTGGAAACATGGTTGGGCTTTGTGGTTTGAGTGGGAGGAGGGAGGGCAGACAGTATTTGTCACAGCCAGTGCATTGGGCAACTACTCCCTCAGTACAGAGAACTCCATGTAAAATTAGCTTACTCTTGCTAATTAACACAACAGAGAAAATCAAAAGCTCAGTTCTGTGACAGAGCAGAAATGAGGGCATCCTAAAAGCAGTGATAGCTAGAAACGCTCAACCTATCCAATATACAGCGTGGAGGGTCTTCACAGGACTTTCAAGTGCCAGCACATAGATCATTTTGATAATGATAGTCTATGGGGTCAGTAAAGACTGGAAAGCCTTCTTCATTTCAGCCATTTGTTAGATTTGACACCGCTACTGAATAAGGACATAATCCTTCAGATGCCAAACACATGATTCCTACCAACTTCACACCAGTGGCTCTCAGGAGGAGAACCTTCACCTGAAATATATATGTAGGATAGAAATAGAAAATCAAGTACTCTAGTTGCTCTAGTAGATTATGGAGGGATTTACAAATAAAACACATTCCGAGTGCTTGAGGTCCATTTTGGCAGCTCTTAAATCTTTTTCTTATTGAAAACTGCTGTTTGCTACAGTATATATAAAGATTGGATTTTGCTATACTGACGGCATTTCAATATATAAAAGCACCACAGAACACGGAATCAAAGCTCTGTAACTAATTAAACTTCATAGGGAATGCTAACATGTATTTCTTAAGGAGAAAATTAGTGTAGTAGCAACTGTACATCACTTACCTAGAATGAAATCACCAGCTCCATTTGTAGCTGCCATTTGTCCTCATTCATTGTTAACAGCCTTCTTCAAACTAACACTTGATAAACATTAAGAGGTTCTAATGCAGTCCATTGGACTCTACGCTTAACACTCAAATAAATAAAACATGTCCCTAAGCATAATAATCTTCTTCAACTACAGGCAGAGCAGTTCCAAAATACTTCTGGATTTTATTTTAACTTAAAATTTCTTACAATGTTGTAAAAATAATTTACTTGTGTAAGTGAATAAAGATAACGCAAGAACCACATTTGTATATAAAATTGTCTTAAAGAGGCCAGTAATCCAATTTGTTTTCATTAGTGTTGCACTGAGAGCACGTCTAACCAAATGCCCATTCAAAGACGAGCAAACCGGTATCAGTCAAATCAGCAGACCTCCTTCACTTACTCCCTTTGCTTATTTAAACAAACCAGGGACATGGAATGTAACTCGCTGTTCTATTAAAGGGTTACAAATACAGACTGAAAAAACAAATTAACCCTCTGGGGAGAGGGCACTTCTGAAATAAAATGGTGTCTTAAGAAACTATTTTCTGAGGTCAAGCTTGAAGAATAATAGTGCTAAATATTCTACTTAAGTTTGAAAAGTCAAAGCTTCCTTAGTTAAAACAATATACATCTGTGATAGCTTACATTAATGGGTACGGTAGCTTTGCAGAGTATTGTTTATGAATATAATACATACATAGTGCTGGGTTTAATATTTTATTTGAATGACGTTTAATGTTATGCAAAATAAATTGTTATGTTACATCCACTGTGACATCAACTAAAATGTGAACTAGTTTGCATAGGTTAGTACTTTGGGCAGCATGATGTTGCTCTAGTCCACCAAGGCTTAAATATTCACAGTGTAGAGGAAGAAACAGGAATTAAAGCATTTCTACTAAAATATATTTTAATAGCTGGTGTTAATTTTCTGCATAACAAAAGCCAAATTAAGATGATACATCATATGATCCAAGAGTAAGTATATCTGTCCTTTGAAAAACAATTGTTACCTTCATAACTGTATACTCCCAAATACAGTACAGTTTTGCAAAATAACTAAAACTTTACACACTTTAAAGCAAACATAAGCCAAACTGCACAGCGGTTCATTTTTGCTTTTTATATCACACTGCAAAAACCAACAGCTGAGAGAGTTTCCACATCATGCTAATCAATGTCAATACAGTCATTGCTGTCTTCCAATGGTCTAGCAATTTCTAATAGTAATATTAAATACACATGATTGAAATGCTACAGTATAGCTTATTTTCCCCCCCCTAAAATAATAATAATTAAACAAATGTCAACAACAACTGGATTACAACTTAAGTACAATATGCAAATTCTATTTATCAGACACAAGAAGCATATGAAATTCTTTTGAATATACTGTTGTAGTGCAGGCAGTTTAGGAAATATAGCTTTCAGGTTTTCTTTCAAAAGGAAAGTTGGGGTTCCTATGGCATAAAGCTGGAGAAAATCACTAAAGCATGGCAAAATGGTTTATTCTTCTACAGCTCACCAGTACTTTGCATTTGCCAGCACATCAGTTTGGAGATGATCTTTCAACAGCATCTTTTGTCTGTTTCAGTATATTATTTAAACATTTACTAACTAAAGCGTATTCTGTATTTTAAACGGAGTATTAATCAACATAATGAAAATCTAACATTTTATACCCTGTACCACTTTCTGCCAAAGACTTCTGTATTTGTCATTTCTTTTTCATTGTACAAGATGACGTGCAGTCAGTGTACAATAAAAACTAGAATTATTACCCTTCCCAAGTATTGGAGACCTTCCATATCCCCGAGGAACACTCGGTAGGGACACATTTGTCAAAAATATAATCCATGGGAGGTGATTCTCTGTCAAATCCCAATCTGCTGAAGTGGTTTATGGTATGTCAAATGTAATCAAGAAAACCCTGTTTCATCAAGATTAAATGCTAATGTTCCATAATGAAAAATTACAACTGCAGTATCTGTAAGTAGCTTTGTTTAGAAAATGAAGATTAGCCAGGCAAGAAAGAGTAATGAAAAGCAAGGCACCCATTTGTTCTTGTATATATGTATGAATATGCTCTATGTTGTTTTCTACATTTATACTCGTGTTAGTAAGAATTACAGCACATTGTATCTTCTTTATTTCTAAAATGCTTAAAATTTGAATGTGTGAACTTCCAACCTGAACTTTGGACCATCTTGGGAAATTTGGCTCCTTAAAAGTCTTTTCCTTTCCCCAGAAAAATATTGTCTACAGGAAGAAAGTACAGTGAGGGGAACATGCTGTGTTAAAAAGGAACATATACTTTAAAGGTGACAAGACAGCATACAACATCTGTTCACCCCCATATCCCACTGCATGTAACAGGCTCCAACATATGCCTTGTAAAACCTGTGCTGGCACAATTTAGTTGCTGACTTACTTTCTATACCTTACAAATTTTAGATCTTGAAAAACGTTTTTATAATGTTTTATAATGTGCACTCTGATAATTTTGGGCCTTTGATAGCATTGCTTAGAACAAAGCTGCATAATGACACTAAAGTTTGTTTTGGATCAAAAAGCAGGAACCACTCCATATGAACACGAATTGCTAAGCATATACAACATAAAAACCTGACTACATGAATGACTAACTTAAAACAGATCTTAATAATTCTGCTGACATACCATTCTCAAGAGAAATACAATTCACATACTGTTTTGTTTTCTTGACCTTTTTTATTTTGCAAATTGCTTTAGCTGCTTTGCCAGGCTAATGAATATTCAAAATTCATAAAGGAAATGTTATTTCCATTGTTTAGCATAACATAGTCCTCTAATGTCATCAAATACTCATTTTCTGATTTACTTTTCACTATACACACAGTGTTCAACACTGCAAGCCATCTCCTCACTTAGGAAGAATGCTAGTGTATTTTATAGGTGGCGACTTTCTTATTTATAAGTCACTAAAAATTGCAACTTGATGCAATACATCTATTCCCTATATTTCTTTTTATTCATATCTGGTTAACAAACTGACAACTTGTTTTTACTGTGGTCAGCATTACACAGCTAATAGAGCAGCACGGCAGCAAGTGATAGCCAATTCTGCCTCAAGCATCATCAAAAAATTTGCCAGCCATCGTAAGACGGGATTCCTCTCCTTGCTGTTGATGGCTGATGATGAAAACCAACACAGAAGCAGACTGCTTGTTTCAGAGCTTCTAGCTCAACTTACCACATCAGCTTTTTGAAAAAGCCATTTGACTTGCAAAGCTTGCTAATTTAGTGTGGAAGTCACCAGTAATGCATAAGGATCTGTTGCAGCAGCAGCTCTATACACAAAACTTTGAAGAATTTTAAATGACAGTAGTGTCACCCATACAGATTGTATATTTACAGTATCACATCCCTGGTTTTAAAACACATTTTTTGAAGTTAGATGCTCCTGGTCAGCTTTAGCCTTGAAATTAGGCAGCTGACAAGAAAGCACGGGCAGTTCCACAGGCATGGACATTTTTTAATTTATTTTTTTAATGCAGCCATTCCACCCAGTTTGGCAGCTGGGATCAGCACCGTGTTAGCAACACCTAAAAAAAATGGCATAAGCCTTCCAATTCCTAATTGTACGCAAAAATAGAACTAGCCCGTATTTGCATTGACAACTTTCAGTTGACATAACAAATCCATACTGCCTTCCTTCTTTATTCTTTAAATAGGTATTGCAGGCCTGCTTACTTTCTGAAACGAGAAATACAAAATTGTCCATAAACTTTATATTTAATTCTACTTTAAAAATTTCAGAAATGGAAGAAAGCCAGTGCAGGCTCAACATTCTGAGAGCTACTCCAAAATTAACTTCTCTAGCATATAGCTGAACACCACAAATGATACTATCAGCAAAAACATTTTCTTCTTTACACATGTATGCATCCACATGAGTAAGTTCCCACGTGAATCTTTAACTCTCTTGTCCTTCCTCCCAGAGTTTCTCATTTGGCAAACATACAACCCACTGTTGGATCACCAAGATTTTTGGAGGAAACTGAAGCAATAGGCCATTGAGCTGAAATGCACTACAATAACCAGAGCTCTCCTCCACTCCTCAATGGACTTGCAAGTATTTCTGCAGCAGGGGGAGGTACATTAGCTCATCAGCAAAGCAGCCATTAAGCGAGTTACCTGTGGTAAGAAGGAGGGATGTGACTGCAGGCTTTGTGTGACTGCACAGCACTGGGGCCTCACACAGGATATTTATTTACAGCAGTATAGGTGAAGGTAAAGGAACTAACATGAAGTATTGGTTGTACATTGCCCTAATGGAAGTTTCTATTTAAATGCTAAGTATTATTAGAAGGAAACAGAAGAGCTCACAGGTTTTATACTCTAGATAGTCTTTGCAAGGAATTTTCTGTGGAAAAGATACTGAAGAACCATGAATCCAGGCATAGATCTACCTGATAGACGGGGATGCAAGCAAAGCTGATAGAAGAAGTCACTGTTGGAAATCAGAGAAAATGGGTAATCCAGGAACAAATGTGGGTATGCAAGAGTCAGGAAATTTTTGCTGTTAAAATAGACCTGTTTACTGTAAGGCTGCTGGGCAGTAGGGTTTTTTGGGTGTTTTTTTTTACTAGCATATTACTTGTCATTATTTCAAATGATTGAATTATCTACTCAACATTTTTATTTTTATTAGGACGCTAACTGCTCAAACATTAAACACCTCCCTAATAATTTGAAGATGTATTCAAACTCAATGTGTTAACCTCCTGTGACTTTAGAGTGCCATAAGAAGTGAATCGATTTTATAGTTGTTATTATAAAGAGAAATCACGTCTTTGAGGTGTAGGGAAAAGGTATTTCCCCTTTACAGCTAATTGACTGAAATCTTTATAGGATTGGCAGCACCAGGCTTCCCTATATGTTTTTCATTTTGAGGGAGCACTATTATAATCAATGCTGTTTTCAAAGCTCTGAGCTTCTTGTTGATTTTTTTATCTTTACTTTAAAGTACTCCAAATCGGATTCTGAGTGAGAATGCAGACTGTTATAGCAGTGATAAAGTAATGAACATGTACTCTTAAAAGATTCTGCTGACCATTCTAAAAGGTTAGATTTTGAGTAAATCATAATAAAGCTCAAAGGACTAGAGACAAAAATTAGTTAACAAACTCAATATAATTTGCTGGAAGCATTCCTGTTTTCCCAGTTCTCTGAACAGTACCATACATCCAGCCATCATCAATTGGTTGCACATTGATGATATAATCACCATCCCTGAAGGAAACTTCATCTTCATCTTGAGCACTGTAGTCATACATAGCTCTGTATGTTCTCTGTTGAAGGAAAGAAAACAAGGCTGTAAAGTCTCAAGCCTAAACAGAGATAGATTCCTTCTCTTCTTTGCACAAAGAAAATGAAAAGAGCAGGAAAAAGAACAGAGGAAAAAGAGCAAGGCAGAGAGAGAAATCACAAGTTGCCTGTTGAAAAGAAACAGTACACCCTCCACCCTGTCAAATATACGGTGAATACAGCCCCTTTTTCTGAGTACCAAAATAATTATTTTTCTGAACCTACACTGTCCAAAGTCCTCATACAAACAGATTTCAAGCCATTCACTGCCTCTTGAAATATTCCAACCGTTCTTTCATATATCCACTAGTAACAGTTCATTACATCCAGCCATGGCTAGTTGTGCTTCTGCTCCCTATTTGCATGATTCCCAAATAGCTTCTCCTGTGTCTTCACTACAGAAAAGAAACACAGTCTTCATCCAGGTCATTAACTTTGCCATCTCACTGAATGTCCTTCATTTCATTAGCATTTTACCCCAAATTAAGAATTAGGAGTATGTTATTCTCTAATGAAAAAAAAGACAAACAAGATTTCAAAAGGTCTGCAAAAATTATTTTTATGAATACTCATTCGTGCATATTCAGATAAAAGATTGATCTAAACAGAACATGAAGTCCTATCATTAGCTAAGCCAAATTTCTCTACACCTCTGTCCACTGTAAGCCAAGATTTCCATTTTCTTTCTAAATAGAGTATTTATTTCCACTCATAACCAATAAAATGCTATCATTTACTGGAATTCAAGGTGGATTTTCAATCTCAGAAGGAACAGTCTCCCCTTGTATCTTAACAGCAGAACAAAAGTAGCTCATTTTAAAATTCCCAAGAGCACTTTCTTTTCCTTACCCTGTCTCTCAACAGAAGTCAAGAGCAGTTCAAGCATCACTGATAACATTGAATTTCCCTACCAGCAATTTTTGATATGTCACCATATCTAGCTGAATTTTTCTGGTACAATGATTTAAAGAGAAGGTAAAAACAGTCAATATTTGAGATAATGCCTAGTACTGTTGTCTGAACCTTTTAAGAGACAGCAAACTTTGTTCTGCTCCCCAGCTGAGGAAAACAACTCTGGATTAGTTTTAGTCCATCTCATATATGGTTTTTGAGGGTTTTTAATGAAATTATTTTCAAAAAAGATGAAGATTCCTCCACATACAGTGAGTAGGCCATTTATCACATGTTGGAAATGTGGGATCATCTAATCCAGACACTATAGGGCAACTCATTATTACTGTTCCCATGCTAGAAATACACTTTTTGTCTTGATTCTGCCTTTATCATTGGTAGTGCAGATTAAACACTACAGAGAAGTCAACTCCTGGTTAAACACTGGAGACTACTACCTTTCCTGACAAGCCTATTCTGAACTGTATTTGAGTCTTGCTCTGTATAATTGTTCTCTGCCATGCCTTGTAATGTTGCTGCCCTACAGGCGGTGACCAAGAGCGATTTTCAACCAGAGGTATGTGGTTTCTTGGTGGCTCCTTAATGTCTTCCACGTGTTCATGGAAGGTGATGAAAAAACCCACCATTGTTTAGGTACTACATTGAAGTAACTAATTGGGAGGGTTCTATCATCACCAAAAATTCCTTAAAGATTCACAAACTGGAAAACTAGCGGTTGGAAGACCCTAAGGAATGGTCTCTGCCTTTAAGAATCCTATTTTTTCCTACTGTTTCAACTGATCTCTCCACTGAGCCTTGAAACTAATTCCAAAAAAAACAGTGAAAAATATGCTATTACAACAAGCTCAGCAGCAGTTAGTCCTTTAAACAATTTATTTCAAAAAAAGGTCCGTTTAAGAAAAATGGTAGTAAGTCCATATCCGGCATAAGGCAGAGAATGGATTTTCCTCTGAGCCATGCTTATATGTCTCCCTTAAATGGGCAAAGACTGGGGGAAGAGATTAAATGTTTTATTAAACTAATATATAATTGGAAAAAAACAGAGAAGTTTTTGCTCACCCAGAAGGATGCTCACTCATCCTTAGAACATCATGGTGTAGGACATACTACTGCCGTCTCCTTTAAGGCAGCTTGACTACATCACTGTGGTGGCACAGTTGTGAAGACAAGCTGGTAATTTCAAACTTTAAAAAAATTTATTAGGGCTCTAAATGCTGCTGAGCAACCTAAATTTATGGCCTTAACACCTAATTAGGTGCTAAATGGCTGTCAGGAGAAATCTCCATAATAATCCTGTTAGCATTTAATGCCTAATTATCACTTCAGAGTGTAGCCTGGGCTATATAATTGAGAATTACAATGCTTAAAGGACTCAAAGCAGGGATTTTTAAAATGCATTTTAGTGAATTATTCTTCTATCAGTAGTGAGTTTAGCAGGTACTGAGAGCACAAGAGGGTATAAGAAAAGGTTGGGGTTTTGTAAAACAGTCAAATACTCACTTATCTCCCACCTCCTCAAAGGTCTAACTTGCAGCTGCTGCTTAGACAGAACAGGAAGTCTTGTGCATACAAAGTACTGAAGCCCAGCTCTCATATTCCCAGCTCCCCAGCCAGATGTGAGCTGACAGATGCATATTCCACTTCATCCACCAGTTTATACTTATTCTATAGGTTGCTCCTTGCAAGGAAAAGTACCTGTTGCAGCATCCTTCACATAGAACAGCTACCAAGGAAAGCCAATTTGCAACCTAGGTTTTGTTTTCCTACCACTTTTAGTTATCTAAAGAAGTGAGAACACCCTCTGTTACCTTCCAAAGAGGCAAACAGCCTTCAGGGGTCTGTTATAAAACATTCTGTACTCTGAGCAACAATTTAATTCAGCCCATTACGCAGAACTGCTCATAGAAAGTGAGCAAAAGAATCAGAAAATAACACAATTTGTCTAGGAAAAAATCTACCCAGAGACTGTGTTAGGATCATGCTCAAAATTAAATAAACCAGAATTTGAAAATTTAGAAATTAGGAAATTTCTATTTCTCAGTACAGGAAATTGGTGGACATGATTACAAAATGAACTTATGTCTTTTGGGGACCCTGATTTGATAACAGTGCAACAAACTGGCTGCAAGGAGTAGGTTTTACTACAGCGGCTAACTCTCCAATCATCCCCACCCTGATATAACTCATGGGAGCTTAATCACTCTTACCCTAGAGATGTCCTGGCCAAACTCAGGCACTTATGGGTGACTTCGTCACCTTCATTGTTTTTAGTTAAGTCTCAAAAACTGCTTGTGCTTTGAGACCAGTATTCAGGCTGGGATTTCTTTCCTCCCATCTCTTCCCCTTCTTACTTTCTTCTCTTACTTCTTTCTTCCCTCTGCCTGGCTTAGCCAGACAAGGCTGCATCTCTGGCAGTACTGCTCCAAGCCCAGAACCAAACAGGCAGCGGAAAGCTATGAACCTAACATTGTGAAAGTTTGTCAGATCTCCTAGGGCATGTCCACACTGCATTTGAAAAGCACTCCAAGGCTGCCTTCCATCTTCAGTCTGTGCAAATCGCTAGACTTAAACACATCCCCAGCCAGAGGTTTCCCCCAGCACACACTGGGAAACCCCCTGTGCCATCCCAATAGCTGAGTGTAACATGCCCAGCACACCTGGAAAAGCTGCACAAGCTAAAGAAAAGATATTCTTTTGATGTGAACATGGAAAGACAAGGGAGCATGCCAGGTTTCTAGCTGCATCCAAGATGCCTCTTTTGGAGCAGAATCATCACCCTGGGAGGTGGTAAGATCACACTCTGCCTTCCTCACCAGACTGGCAAGTTAGCAGTCAGCGCCAGGCCAGCAGTCCTTGATTTTCTCCCTGTGGAAATGTTTGGGTTTTATTGTCTTCAAGGAAACCCACTCAGTTTTTAACAGCAACAAGATCCATGCAAACTATGACATTTGCTGTTTCCTTTTTCCCCCATGATAAACAGCTATTATCACTTGAAAGAATGTCAAATGACAACAGTTTTACAAAAGGGATAAGAAATCCTGTTGAAAGGAGACACTCAGTCAATCCTTTATTTTTTACATGCTTTAACTTCACTCCCTTCCTTTTCCTATTACCTTTGCATTCCCAGTTCCGGAATGAGAGGCAAATGATGATTCTCAAGATGATTGCAATGATATTGTTTCAATAGGTAGCCCACCAGGTAGGTCACTGGGAGAGAGAGAGATCAGGGAAATAGTAGCCATCTACCTGCCCAGATAGCTGCAAAGGCTGCTAAGTGCGTTTCAAGATTTGCAGGCATCTCTGTTCTCTATCTGCTGGATTTGAAGGCTTTGCTCCCCACTGACTAGCAAGTCTGCTGGCAAAGCCCAGGCTTCCAGGTGTCCCACTTTTTGGACTCTGGCCCTTTTGGAAAGCAGTCAGTTCCCCAAGTGCCTTGCGATATCCTTGGAAAATAATGGTTGATTCCAGTATCAGCTGCCTCACAGCTGTCTCGCAGGTGTCCAAAGAGTTTGGTGTGCTGGTTTTGGCTGGGATAGAGTTAATTTCCTTTATAGGAGCTAGTATGGGGCTGTGTTTTGGATTTGTGCTGGAAACAGGGTTGATAACACGGGGATGTTTTCGTCACTGCTGAGCAGTGCTGACACAGAGTCAAGGCCTTTTCTGCTTCTCACACCACCCCACCAGCAAGTAGGCTGGGGGTGCTCAAGAAGTTGGGAGGGGACACAGCTGGGACAGCTGACCCCAACTGGCCAAAGGGATATTCCACACCATATGACGTCATGCTCAGCATAGAAAGCT